AAAAAAAAGAAGGAAGTGGAGTTAGCAGGTATATATGCCTACATTGACCTCCGGAACCACCCCAATGTAGACAAATATGGCATACATGGAGTGTTTGGTATCACAGCTTTGCAGGGTCTTCTGCAAGTGCAAAACCCCTTTCATGTCGCTTCTTGGAGGTCAGTGAGTGCCCTTTGTCCACCGTATTAGGTGAACTCAGACCATGTTGTTTTGAAATTCATGGCTTCACTGGATGGGTGATGATTCACTGATGGTCTGAGAGATTTATAACACCAGGAGCTCCTGGATGAATTCAGATAACTCTTTTTCGATTGGATAGTTCTGCATAGATTCATGACACGCGAGCCCAAACTCTTGCCCAAACTCTTTCATGACGTTTGCACGCGCTGCCCGACCACGGTCGAAAGGTCGAAAGGGCGACGAGATTCGTCTCGTGATCGAGAAACACCCGGGCCCTGGGAATATGCGAGTGTTCAGTGCAGAGGTTGGGCGAGCCCGGGCTCCTGGTCGCCCCCCTTCCATTTCAGTACGGTGGTTCAGGGGTGGGTGCGTTTGGGAGGTCTAACCACCTGAGGAGGTTAGGCTGTTGGAGATCCGCGAGACTGAGTTGATGTGGAACCGACCTGTGAGCAAGCCATTGGGGGGTTTCAAAAGTGCACGACGCCATGATCCACGCAGATATGCGTTCTTGCTGCAGATGCTTTTTTGGGAATTCCAGTATGCAAGCTGGAGAAGTTTGGGTTCCAAGGCAAGGTGGTGCTTCAAATCAATGCCAAGCCGGGAGCCTTGAGCCACAAACGTGTGCAAGGGCGCTACTGGGAAGAATCTGTGTTGAGGTTGTTTTGGCAGTTGGTCAACAAGTTTGTGAAGATCTAGGACAAGGAACTGTAATAATGTCATAGACCTTGGATGCTCCAAAAAACAGTTCCCTTGCTGAGAGGCAGAGAGGTAGATGTTTTGGGGTTGTTGTAGGTCCACTGACAATCAGAGGATGAGTCACTTGAACACCCATTTCCCAACACACCCCGAAACCTTGTTCATCTCAAGTTTCAATAGGAATCTTCTTTGCGGCATCGCTCTCGCTGGGGGCGACATGTAAACATGTAACGGCACTCAGAGGTCAGCATCCATTGAAACCTGGAATTCCCTTGGGTTGCGCCATCAGGACTATTTCTGCAAATCCAAGTGTTGCTTTTCCACCTCCATGTTGGTGTGTTGCCATGCTGTTTTTCTACACACCTCTGACCAAGAATCCAGATGCTTGGTGATCCGCTTCTGTTTTTTCTCGAACCTGCTGGGCCGTTGGATCACGTCCTTCCTCGCAGCATGGAGAACGTGCATCGACCGTTGGAGCCAAATCGACGGCATATCCGTTCCTTCGAAGCCAACGGTGCTTCCGTCGAAAGGAACCCGGTTGCGAACAGGTTTAGGCCAGGTTCGGTCTTTATGACCCTAAGCTGGAAAGACGAACCTGTATAGGTAATGTATAGGCCCCAAGCAACAGACCCCCCCAAAAAATGGATCAAATTGACCCCAACGGCTTCTCAAGACGTTGGCTTCTCAAGAGCCTCCCGACGGCAGGTTCTGTGGGCCTCTTTGGAACGTCGTGCCCAGAAACCCCGACACGGTGCCCACGACGCGCGTTACGTCCGAAATCCGCGATTCGCGCGAGTCGCGCGGAGCGCCCGCGGGCGGCTCCGGAGGTGGACATCGCTGCAGGAAGCGAACGATTGAGATTCAAACAATAGTTCTTATCACAGGAGTGTGCGGAATAGTTATACTTACACTGTAGGGCCACGAAAGGAACACCTTCATCCATGCATGGTTTGAGGGTTGTTTGATCCAGCTAAAGAGTTGAACTAGTTCCATCATATTCCTATATGTTTGAAAAGTAGATATCCGCCAACGACAAAGAACGGAAGACAGTATCCACGGTGTCAATCCCGGATGTGTCCTTCCCGAACAGGTATGCTCCGGGTCCAGGCTCCTGAGGAAACGTCATGTGCCCTTTTGGGAGGTTAACACAGATCGTAACTTCACCATGCTTTCACCAAATCCTTCACCCAAAGATTCCTGGCCCACCATAGATTTATGATGCTACCAGGAGTCACATGGAGTCACGGTGGTGTTTGGTTCCCTTACGTGAGTGGAGTAGCTAGGCACCCCCAACCTCCATGGATCGCACCCCGTCTTGTGACTGCTGGTATTCTAGTCTATACTGAACAACGCATTGTTTTACTAAGGATTTGAGTCAACCAAACCATGCAGATCATGTCCCGCAAGATCCCGGCGCCGCAGCTGTAGAGCACCAAAAAAAGGATCAACAATTCAATGTGTTGTTTTTCTTTTTTTTCAGACTGCAATATATTCAGTGAAACCAGGTTTTCAAGCAAAACATGTCAACTGGACACATCTTGAAAGGCTCCGTGCCCCGGCTTTAGCACGGAGCAGCATTCCCGGTGCCGCCATGGATGGCGCGAAGCGCAAGACCGACGACGCGGACGACGTGGACGCGGACGACGCGAAGGGGCAGAAGTCTTCGAAGAGAGAGGAGCGGAAGGGGGACAGTTCAGGATGGGAGTGGGTCACTCAAAGAGTTTCCATGTCGATTGTTCGTTGGTTCGTTCTCCGAACTCGCCATGTCCAAAACTTGGAAACCCAATCACCCTAGACTTCCACCATCAAAAAATGGTTGACCTGGGTGTTGTAGTGTAAAATCCTTAGTTGATTCCGTAAAGCCCATTAAATTAATGGTTGGAAGCCTAGGGAATATATATGGGTGTGTCTTCCAATGAGGGAGACCTCCGAACCAGGGCGAGAGTTCCGGGGTCGAAATGTTGGAAGTTGGACACGACCTGTTTGCGAGTTCAATCGGGACCATGCCATCCACGTCTAACCATGTTAGGGAGTCAGAGTGTATACCCTTTTGGTCCAATCCGCCAGTGAGCTGGGAGAGAGAGAGAGAGAGGGAGGGGACGTGAGCTCTGAAGGGCAGATGTGTTCTGTTGGATTCGGAAAACTGCGGTTTTTTGGTGCGTCAATGCCTTGAGTTTCGTGAGCCAATTGCTCCAGGAAGCCAAGACCTTTGAGCCCTTTGCAACTCCTCACTACTGCTTCAACAAGATGGGTCAATTTGTCCCGCTTTGCCGCACGATTGCTGATGAGATGCCTGGCTGATGTTGGTGCGTCGCTTTCTCCATCTTGTGCAGGTTGAAGAAAGGGGCGACCTGCCAGAACTTCGAAGAAGAATCCCATTGACTGCACTATCTCAAAGACGAGATCAGGGGTCACACCAAACCAACCCAGTGGCAAGTCTGGTAGGTCACAAGTCTCGGGCTCTCTGAAAGCACACTCGGTCGCATCCGACCGAGCTCCCAAACCCCCCAGACTGGCCTGGGTGTTTTCTGGTCTATGTTCCTCTCACTGAACCCACAGGTTGTTAGCGGGGGTCGGTGTATGTCGGTCTCCTTATTTTCATATATACTAAATATATACAAGCACATTCCACACTCCAAATCTTTGGACCTCGCTAGCGAGGGCTCTCCAGAAAATCACGGATATCCCTTTCAGGCGCTTCACGGCTTTGGTTCATCAAATGGAGTACAGGCGTGCAAATACGTGCAATCATTTTTCCAGCTCCCTGCAAACTGTGTCAGTTCAGGAGAACCATCGGAAGCAGCCCGCAAAGCCTTGCAGATCATCGTGATGTGTTGCAAGTCAGACTTCTCAAATGTGAACAAGTTCTTTCTGCCGAAATACAGCATCGTCGCAATCTTCAGGCAGATCTTTCGATGGAAAGGACAAGGCGAGAAGTGTTAGAGAGGCAGCAAGAGCCTTTGGAAGAGCAAGTCCGATCCTTGGTTTGCTTATAATAATAGCAAAAATATTGTTTTTGTTAGGTTTGTTGCAAGCAGATGAGATATGTGAATGACTATATGACCTTTTTGTGTTTTTTTGTTGGAAGCCTTTTTGTGTCTAGCTCACCTGACCAGGAGATCTTCAACGCCGTGAGGCCGCTTGGGCACTTGACCGATGCAAGCTTCAAGCGGCTGAGAAGAAGATCCAAGAGATGCAGAAGGTGCCGCCACGCGTCGCAGCGTGGCAGCGTGGGACATGCTGTTGACATCATGTGCAGTTTGGGGTTCCCATTTCAAGACATTTGTTGATATCTGTTGACATCGAGAGCAGTACAGTTTGGTGTTCCCATGTCGCCGTCTCCGTGTGTAAACGGGGGCCATGCAAGTTACATGGTGTGAGATCCACAGTCGGGTCGGGGCGGCAGGATCTGGCGGGATCTGGTCCATGGGATCAGACGGAAACCATGTGAAACCTATGCCATGTGGCGCGCGGACGTGTGGGTATGAGAAAAGGCCTCGGATATGCTGCACATCATCGAAGTCCCCCAGGGTCAGTTGCACCCATGCCCTGATTGGTCCAAATAGAGTCAGTCCCACTGAGTCAACTCTCTGAGTATGGAACGATTCCATGGGACTGGAATATACGCCGCCATTATTTGACTCCTGAAACCTGCCCATAATGTATTTCACACATGCACAGTTCGTGTCTTTCACGGAACATCACAGAAAATATGGGATCTCATTGGGACTCAAACCGACCTAAAATCCCATGTGTTGAGTCCATATCCCATAGATGGCGCTCGCCAGACCACACCAGGAATGGGAGCATCCCACAAAACATGGGACTCCAACTGGGGGCCTCGCCAGCCTTGGGAGCCGCCTCACCTGGCCCTCGCCTGGCCCTCAACGGTTTCAGAGTTCGAGTGGACCTGTTCGATGGCCCAGAGTTCGGGCCGTTTCACGCCTGGCGGAAGCTCCAATCCGATCGACGACAACCCTTGGACCACTCCGATCCACCGATCCAATCCGAACCACACGACGTGTGAGGACCCGGGTGAACTCGTTCCCATCGTCGGACTCCTTCGTTCCTGGTTCTGCAGGCGCAAGAGCAGCTCCTCGCGCGTTTGGAGGAACAAAAGCGAGTCTCCAGCATGGCGGGGACGCTTCTTGGTGCCAGTTGGCAATACCATGACAACGGCAGCTGGCATGCTTTTCCGCCAGAGGGGAATGAAAAGATGCACCAGGCTTATTTGACGTATCTTCAACATCCAGTGCCCAGGAACCGCTTCGTAAGCATTTGCTCCGCCGGCGTCGAACGGGAGGTGGATTTTCTATTGATGCAGCAAAAGCGTTGCGACAACAATAAGATTCTTGCTGCTGAAATGGTTGTGGCATGTTGTGGTTCAAAAGGAGGGCGTTTCCACCATGCAGCCACTGGTTGATTAAAGATTGACTGTAATCTATATATGATCCCCCAAGTCTTCATGATTGAAATTTATTCAGCCATGCCCAAGCGATGAACTTTGCCATACTTTTTTTCAGTAGACCATCCCCTTCTTGGTTTGTTTACCCAAAAGTCTTCACACTTTTTTGGCGACTATCAGCTGGCTTTATGTCATGGTATACCGGTAATACCCGAGAAACTGGATCCGCGTGTACATGGCAAAGTGGATCACCTTTCAGCCTTTGCAGCGGGAAAGAATCGTGGTTTCCCCGTGTGAAGTGCGTTCGGCTCACCTTTGTTCCGATGTCCGCCTGGGGGGGCCAGAGGTTCCTTCCCCAAGCGGTCCGTTTTGGGGGGCCAGTGCCCAGCCCGCGGGGGAAACGCCCAGGATTCGCTGGATTCGCATTGAGGCTGGTGTTCCCAAGCAGTGGATCACCGCTCCAGCCGATTTGTTGCTGCAAAGTGATCAGCTGGACTCCTTCTACGTGGAGGTGAAGGATTCAGCTATTCATGCTACCGTGTTGAGCATTCTGCAGTTGACAGGTCACGGAACCGACAACTCACAAACTTGTTCTTGCATGAGGACGGCGAAAGTGAAGTCGGTACACCGCATTGAAAACTGGAGACTCTGGCAGGGATACAAGTCGAGGTGTGCGGCCTTGCGAAAGGAGCATGCAAGCTACAATATTTCTGTCACTCCTGCACCAATCGATTGTGATGCCTTGCATGGTACATACATGACAAGTCATCAAGCGGTCTTTGATTGCGGTGAAGCCTTAGCCGCGGATGTCGATGAAAAGATTCTGTTGCATGGCACCAGTTGGGGCAATGCAAATTCCATTGTGCTGAATGGCTTTGACCCTCGGATGTGCGATCGTGGCATGTATGGCGATGGGGTCTACTTTGCATCCGCTGCCTGCAAGAGCCATCAGTATCTTCCTGGATTTGCTTAAGGTGTTTTCTATTTTCCCTAATTATGGTTAAATCCCCTTCTAGAAGTTCTGGCAAATATGTATTATTTTTCTATAGGTTCCTGGACAGCAAATCCAAGGTATACATGCCCGGATCACAAGATGGCCTGCCGCTGCAAGCGTGAGCGGACTTTGATCATTGCTCGTGTGGCTCTGGGCGATGCTTTCATTGCAACGGAAACACGGAGACATGAACGCAGGCCACCAAGGAGAAGCAGCACCTTTGGAGGCACCTATGACTCCATCATTGTGAAGCCTGGGCCAATGAAAGGGCATCACAAGGACTATCAAATTCATCAGGAAATTGTGATCTGTGACCGCGAGCAAGCTTACCCCTCCTATGTGGTGCAATATGAGTTGTGAGCATACCTTCTAGTCACGAAATTGATGGTGTAATCCCTCATATGAAGAGAGAAGCATGAAGCTGCTTCTTTAAAAAGATCTGCCACCCCAGAGGTGGCTTAGATATGCTTGGATGATCTTGGATGACTCAATGGTAATCGCAAGGAATCGATCCATTAAGCTCCGCATTTCTTTCTACTTCTGCTTGTACAGGACATGAAGTTTCACCACTCCAAGAGAAGAATTGTCTGCAAAAGAGCTTGACCATCCATAGGACCAAAAAGTCGCTGCGCACCATCCATGGACATACAGGGCTTCCCATCCAAATGACCCCATGCTGGCGTAACTAGTCCAGTCCCATGGTCGATGATCTTGGGAGGTTTTTGAATTCATTTTATGGATTCTTTAGCCCGTCCGTGGAGGCTTCTAGCCGTGGCACGAATTCAGGTCCGGACCAGATTCTGCATTGGAATTGAGAGGATCCAACCCCCCAAACACACGGGTACTAGGACTTCTGACGACACGGTGCATGTGCTCCAGGGTGACATGAGTTTGGGTCCAAATCCGAACCCCTAAACCCTGGTAGGTTGACCATGTCAAGGAAAAAATTAGAAAATCAGGGGGGTCCCTGGTGCTGTTCCAAAACCACCAGCCCTGCTCCCTGCTTCACGCTTCACGCTGGCGGATCGGACCCACGCTTCTCCGAGTGGTGGATCGCCCCGCGGAAGCTGCGGGCTCTTGAAGTGAGCATGGTAAAGCGACCCGTCCAAACAACGTTTGAGTCGTGCGTCTCTTTGGGGTTTTTGTTCACGCGTGAGAGGCTTGCCACTCAGACATGTCAAAGCAGTGGAGTTGCGGGAGTTGCGGGAGTCTCGGAGTCGGGTTGCCGCCAGGATCCTGTCAACGAAGTCTTCAGGAAGGTGCGGCATCGGATGGTTTCTGGGTGTGGCTGTGGGCGCGGGCGCGGGCAGAAAAAAGCACAGCCAACAACACTTTGGGACACACACACACACAATTCTCGTTTCGCTGTTGGTAAGGATGGGGGGTGTTGCCAGATCCACGAGTGAATCCGCCCGAAAAACATGAGCATGGCTTAGTACTCTGACTGATTAATTATCATGTTAAGTGGAAAATAGACGGCAGTCCTTGAAAGACGGAGCCTTGTCCACTTCCATGGTAGTGAGTTAGAGTGTCGTAGAAAGAGGGGTTCTTTCTTTTGTTTGCCATTCAACTTATAGAATTAGGTCTTAGATATTTCGAGATGTCTTCCAGTATTAGTAGATCGACTGGTGTGCCCTTATTGGGAGATGTGCTCATCAATCATTGATGCTGGATGGCAGCTCGATGTTGCCCATGTCTACCCTCCAGCGGTTTGACCAAATTCAGAATGCGTTGGGCATGTTCGCAGACGTCCGGAATCGACCCACAAGTGGCTGAAAGTCCCGAACTCGGATCACCTCAAAGAACCTTTTGAAAATGGTTTTGGACTCCTAGTCGGTTGGAGGCCATCGCTATTAGGGATCACCGGAAGAACCGTTTGAACATGGTCGACTGGACTCCCAGTGCATATCCAGTCCTGGCAAATTGGAACACATCTTCGCAGCATCTGGAGCCCAGGCTACGTCTAGCTGTGCATGCCTGGCTGACAGTCCAATGCCCAAACACTCCATGGGACTGCCATATATGCCTGCATTGACCCCCCAAACCACGCAAATATGGCAGTCCCATGGAGTGTCTGTCTGGCATGCATTCCTACGATGTGGGTCTTTGTGCAACGGAGGTTCTTTCGATGGCCAAAGGACCCAATCCCAGACCAGACGAATGCGACTGGAAGGATTACTTACAATTGGGTCAGAAATAAGGTTAATCAAGTAACTTGCCCATACATGGATGGTCTGGGAATAATGGCTTGAATCACCCAATGCCTGAACCTACAAAATGTTGGAAACAGGAGCTATAGAACGAGTTCCCTCTCCATGTGCTCTGAAGTACAACCTGTCTTGTCAGAGGCATATGTAGAACCTCATTGTTTCCTCCTTGTTTGATGCATGCCAGTACGTAGACCAGTCGTTTTGCGCTGGAGTTTGTGAAGACCTTACGTAGGCCCTTCATCTTCATTTGTTTCCAGTAGAGTAGACCTGTCAGACTTCGGCTGGTACAAACTGGATGTGTTGATGCATGTTCTGCAGGGAAACCGGAGGAATCCTACTGGTGACAGAAGACATGTGGAACAGTAGTAGGCACCATCTGAAAGGTGGAACAACCCCCCCAACACCCGTGCCACTTCATGCTTTTCCCAGACACCATGGGATTGGAATATATATAGATGCTTTCTATTTTCTAACCACAGCATATAACATATGTATGTATCTTCCCCCCCCAATCGACTCAGTCTTGAGTTTCTTTGGGCGGACTCCCGGTCACTGTCGCTCGTCGCTCCGGACCGACCGACGTACCGCGGATCGCGGAGCAGCCCATCGCGCTTCGCACGAGCGACGAGCACGAGCACACAGGTGCCCTTTAGCATCATGGGCATCGATGTGCATCGCAACAAAGCGGGGGAATGGTGCCGTGGCTGCAACGGACCGCTGCGACGGCCTTGTTCATGATATATGTTGGGTCCGACGAGAGGCTGTCAAAGTACTGGTTTCGGCCCGCGTCTCTTTCTGTGAAGGGCATGTTGTCTTGTGAACACCCACAGAGCAATACTGAACGAGGCAGAGTTACCACTATTTGATCTTTCTCCAGGTGGTTTTGTTGTTGTTGCTGCAGTTTTTGTTTGTACCTTCCTTGTTGCTGCTGTTGTTGTTGCTGTTGTTGTAGTTGTTGTTTGTGAAGATTTACCTCGACTGTCGGCAACCCTTTGGTTTGTCAGGAATCTATACTGATTTATATACTCATACTGATATATATATATATACTCATGTATGCCTATATCAAGCACTTATATGTCAGGCGCCGGCTTAGCAGAGATGCCGCTAGGCGCCGTGATGCACTGAAGACCCAGTCAATCCACCACCCACGTGGCGCTGTCGGTTCAGTCCCACCGGTCCGTCCGAGAGACCCGCGGAAGCGGAACGTCGTTTGACGCCTGAAGCGTCGTCCCAACTGGGTAGACCCTTTTGGTTGAGACCAGTGTGGCCCCTTCCAGACCTTGTGGCAAATATATATATATATATACCCTAGCCTTCAAAGACCATTAAAAGAACGGTTGAGCTGGTGGTGTAGTGTAAAAATCCTTAGTAAAACAATGGTTCTTTGGCAAAGACCATTAAAACAATGGTTGTTTGAATCCTAGGGTATATTGTTATATATATAATATATATATATATTCCTGGACCCAACAGTGCCGGAGCTTGTGTTGGTTCACGAGATTTATCAGGGGGTTGGTTGAGAAACCATCGACTCAAGCAAGGTGAAGCCTCTCTGACACTTTCTTTGACACACTCCTTTGGATGATCTTATTTCAAAAACAAGCGGAAAAATCCCACCAGACCTGGCTTGTCTCCAGTGCGCCAAAATCCAAGAGCAGAGCGGTTCACCCCAGGACGCTGGGTGTCACAGCGACCCTGGACAGAGCTTGTTCCCTTGGCAGCAGAGAGTAGAGTGAACGGCAAAGCCCAGACTCCATATAGTTACCCAGTTAGTGGATTGGTGTCCTCACTCAATATGAGCAGTTTTTCCAGGGAAACTGAGGGAGTCAGATGTAGTTACCTAAAATTGGGGTCCTTTTATCGGGTCAATGTACGGTTCAATTCCAGTCCCCAAACATCGTGTCTGGGAACTGACGTGTCTTCGACGTGTTTTGCCACGGAGTCTCCAAACATCAAAGCATTCTGTGGTGAGAGACCTGCGGAACCTGCAGAACTGATGGGAGGTGTTGGGGCAGATCGATTTTGCGGGTTTGATCCAAAAACTCCCTGGCTGTGGGTCATGATGGCACTAGGGGCCCACCGAACATGAATTGAATGGACGACCAAACATGGTCAACCTATCAGGGTTGGCTCCGGGTTTTGACCCACCAGCAATCAGCAAGTGGGTTGTGTGCCATGTGCTTTCACTCTCACACTGGGTTTTGCAACATGAGGGTTTCCATCAAACCAGGCCGGAGTGTTGTGCCGGGTTTGTTCGATGTTCGATGTTCTACCGTCCAAAGACTACTAGTGAGCCCTCAACCACACAAGTGCTGAGGGAGCCAGATGCGAAGTGCTGGCTAGGTAGGTGGTTTGGTGTCCATCCCTTAGTCCCTTAACCTAAATGCTCAGTCTTCACTGGCCCCAGCATGTCTTCCAAAAAAAAGGGTACACAAACACTGAGACACCAACACACCCACCGACATACACACACACGTACATTGGGGGTGTCCCACTACCTGTAACAGCCGGTAATTGTCACTATTTTAGAGAAAGGCCTTTCCGAACCGCGTCATCATCCACTGTTACGGGGAACAGGATATACCGATATACCCTAAGACATACACACTTCCAGTCCCTCACATCGTGTCCTCATGACTCGGGGTCCAGCGCACCGCTGCCATGTCTTTCTTCGGCGCCCGGGGCCAAACGACGCCCCGTCCGCACCAATGGCGGGCCGAAGTGGGCCCGAGCGACGAGCGGAGCGAAGGGTCGCACCACTGGAGCGATGGAAAGCCTTGGTGGCCTTGATGTGAAGATGGGATGATGAACACATGGTTTGAGGGGTGGGGTCTATAAAGCTCCCTGGGATGGTGATCAACGACTCTTTGCGTGGTGAGACGGATATGTCCTATTTGTCCACCTGTTTTGGCTCCTGATGCGGAAGGGTTAAAGGTAGGAGCAGTCTACTGGAGGTTTTTGTGTGTTTGATGTTTGGAAAAGAAACTCCAAACCAGGGAATGCCAAGTCAGTACTGCGGACAGATCATGTTTCCACCGGGCGAGATAACGAAGGTATAGAAACTGCATGGAATTGCAAAGTCGCTGCATATTTCTACAGGGCTTCTACAGGACATATCGTTCTGATTTGCATAAAAGACTCTTCAAAAATCCGAGGAGAGGCAGATGGCCTCTTCAATGCAAGTACTCACGTGCGGCTTCACTTCTGCAGCCTGGCCCACCTTTTGCTGGCCTCCTTGTGGTGCTGGGCCAATTTCGCCTTCAAAAGCAGTTGAAGGAGATCCGGCGGAGGAGTTTGAGACGAGTTCGAGAAGAGAGATCAGCAAGGTGGGAATGAGTCCGAAACTCGTACGATGGGAGAGTTAGTTGTGAAGCCTCCAGAAAGCGCAGAGATACGGAGATACAGACAAAATGAGTTGTTCACAGCGGAATACAAGGCATTTGACAACCTCCCATACTAGGTGGCAAAAGATACCTGGAATATGTACATACGGCTCCTCGGGGCAAAACACCCGCATAACCACATACATATTACTATATAACAATATATAAATTGGTATATATATAATATAATATACTTAGGGAGCCTCCAAACAGAACGTTATAGGGGTTAAGTATGCCAGACATAAATCTGAAAGGGTTCACCCTGTCCACTAGCGGGGGTTTGAGTTTTGGAGACCCATCTCCAGGTCCGAAGGCCGCAGCAAGATGTCAAGCGATTCTGAACGAGTCGATGAATTGGTGCAGAAACTGTGCCAAGCAGAGACTGAAAGAAACCTGGATGTTGTGAGTTGTGTTTTCTTGGACATGGCCAGATACCTGCAGAAGCAGTACCAGCAGAGTAACCACCCCATATCAAGATTATTGAAGATACTGGTGTAAGTTATGGCCTGACTTGTATGCTGAAGTGGACGAGTTTGTATCGATCTAGCTCTTTGCTGTGCCGTGACCCTTTGGATGTGACATTAGTGCCACAAAAGCATGTATTCATGTTTGCCGAAACGAGACTAAGGAAATCTTGAAGACTCTCTTAAAACAATTTTGCTATCAGAAGTGCGGCGCTCGAAAACAATTGTTGGGCCTGTCTTGAAGGCTTTGTGCCAGCAAACGGGAGCAGCAA